GAAGAGAGGAGGATCTCTCCCTCCTGCTACAGATGGGGAAACTGAGGCACAGAGCAGCCAAACCCTAGTCCAGATGACTCTCCCCCGGCTCAGGCGCCCCATGCACCCAGGTGCCCCGCAGCAGACCAGGTCCAGGGCAGCAGTAAGCCCAGCCCAGTCCATCGGCGCCCGAGGGAAGAGCGACTGTGGGGCAGGACTGGAGGTTTTGGGACTCAGGCCCCCTCCCATCCCAGGCCTTACCCTTGGCCCTGGGCTGCAGTCGCTCCCCGCAGCCGGAGTCAGCGTGTCCTGGGACGCAGACCTCAACAACCCTGGCTCTGCTTGCCAGACCGCCTTTATCTCACACAGACACGAACCAGCCCCTCCCGGGCGTTCCCGCAGCGCCCCAGCACCCGGCAGGGCCCTTGCTCCTGGCACCTGCTCGGGGCTGGGCCACGGCAGCAGCACACGCAGCACGGCTCCGCTCGAAACGCAGCCACGGCCGCTCCAGAGCGGCACCGGGGGCCGGGCTAGGCCAGGGGGAGCGCACCCCCACCCCCAGCTCCTAGCCACCCCCCTTGACCACGTCCAGCCCAGGGCATGGGGAGAGCACGGTGGGGACCAAGGGCTTGTCCCCGCTTTATTGTAAGAAACAGAAGAGAGGGGACACGGTCGGTCCTGACACGATACAAAGCAGCCCAGGAAGAAACTGCTCACCAGCGTCCGATGGGAGAACAAAGCTTCCCGGGGGGCAGCGGGGAAGCCCGGCGCCCTGCGCCAGCCAGGTGCAGGCAGCAGAGGGTTAACATCCCCTGGGCACTGGGGGGCCAGATGGGCTCCCCTGGGGTGCGAGGGGCAGCCTCAAGGGCGCAGCTCCACCCGCCCCGACAGCCAGGCCCCCGCAGCGGGAAGGGTCTCTGCCCCCTTTGCCCCTGCAGGCCCACAAGCGAGTCCCCGGAGCAAGGCCAACGGCTGAACCACAGCAAGATCCACGGTGAGGCCACGTCCATCCGAAGACCCCGCTGCTCGGAAAGGCTCAGCAGGCTGCAGGGTCCTGGACGAGCGGGTCAGGGCCCTCCGCTGCCCTGCAAGAGGGGGAGAGAGAAGGGCTGTGAGCTCAACCCCGGCAGGGTGCATGGCCCAGGACTGCAGCTCTTTGCACCCCCCCACTCGCATGTGCAGCAGAGCCCCCAACCCCAGGGCTGATGTCATGGTAGTCCCTCCCCTTCAATGTACACTGGAGACCTGCCACGGGGTCCTGGCAGCAGCTGTCCACTTCCCATTTTGAGGCCAGACCCCCACCCAAACATCCCCCATAGACCTGATTTGGGTGCAAGGAACTTGACCCTGCATTGCAGGCAGGACGCAGCCTCTAAGGATGCAGGGCGGCCTCCTGGTGACCTCGGCTGCTGCAGCCCCCAGTTCCCTCACCGGCGGTACCAGCCCAGCGTGGCCCCCCACCCTTGCTGGAAGCAGGCCGAGCAGAGTCACGCTCACGGGGGGGGACATGCAGCTGAACCAAGCGTGCCCGGGACACCGCGGAGACCTGCGACAGCTCCCAGCCTCTGCATGCAGCCCGGCGGTTCTCAGCCGGGTCCCGCAGCGCCGAGGGGGCCCGTGTAGCATTAGCTCGGTGAGCAGAACAGATGCCATTCGCAGGATGCAACCCAGGGGGTTCCCCGTGGGAAAGCATTGGAGACGTCGGGGGACGCTTCGGCAGTCGAGAAGGAAGCGAAAGCAGAATCCCAAGGGGACCTCGAGACTGGTGAACCACAGCTTTGTGGCCAGCAGCATTGTGGTGGGCAAAGCCAGGGCAGCCGCAGGATGGATGTGCGCTGGCTCCAACGTGCCCAGCTGCAAGGGGGCAAGTCCTCTTTTGCTGCCCCCAAGCCAATGCCCTCAGCCGAGGCAGGGGCCGGTCCCTGTCCCCTCCCACCCACAGCATTTGACTACACGCTACAGGGAAAGACCAGTCCCGGGGCTGTTCAGTGAGCTGTTTTAATGCACCCGGACAGGCGTACAGATGCTGCTGGCAGCCCCCCGCCCGCGCCCCCCACAAGTCACAGTCTCCCGAGGGGCGGCAGCAGCAGGGCACGGCACCAGCTACCCCCTGCACTGGGCTCCAGCGAGCCCAGTGCCCCTCCCTGCCTCTCCTTGGTGCAAAGCGCGTCCTGGAGCCAAAGCTGCAGCCCCACAGTCCCCCCGTGCGGGGCACGGCTGGTGGGCAGGTTAGTCGCGGTGTTAGCAGAGCCAGGTGAGCAGCAGAGAGAAAGACAGAGCTGGAGAGATGGGCGAAGGCAGCCGGGGCCCCGCTAGCGGCTGGCCGGAGAGGGCGAGCTCTTACGGAAACGCACCCGTGCAAAGTCCGTGATCTCCACCGTGCCCGGAGCCGGCTCAGCGGCGGGCGGCGTCACCGCGGCACCTGCGGGGACAACGGAGGGTGTCAGGCAATGGTCAGGACCCCACCGACCCATGTCACAGGGGATGCACAGACTCTCTGGGCCCCCAAGCTGGGCAAGGACAAGGGATTTTTCTCTCCCCCGCCATCCTAAGCCAGGCCAGAAATAGGACCAGCTGGCTGAGGGATGGAGGAGCCCACACCCAGACCAGGCAGAGTCTGTCCCTCCCCTTTGGCCCTAGGGACCCAAACCACTATCAGCCCCTGCCCTGCCATCCTCCCCAGCTCAGTGCAGACCCTGGCACCTGGTGCCTCAAGCTCTGTGGTGGCCGTGGGGGTCACCGACTCCGGTGCCTCCGTCATGCCAGGGGCTGCCGGCGCCTCCGCGTCCCCCACGGGCTCGGCCGCCTCCTGCCGCGCAGCCTCCGGTGCTCCCTGCCCTCCCGGGCACTCGCTGGGCGCTGGGGGGCTCAGGTCTGCGGGAGACCGGCTGGCTCAGCTCCCTGTGACGGGGACCGCCCGCCCTGGTCCTGCAGAGCTGCATCCACGCCGGGGAGGGGTCACCATCCCCATCCCCGACTCCCCCCGCTGCACGCGACTCACGTACCTGTGGCCACTCCAGCCACGCTGACTCCCTCAGCCTGGGGGCCAGCACCAAGGCCCTGCAGGGGACTGTGCCCCAGGTTGCCGCGCGGCGAGTTCAGCTCCATCTCCTCACCCCAGTCCGAGACAGGCCGGTAGCCCTCGACTGGGGAGAATGGGCTGAGGGGCTTGCCTTCCCCAGCCGGGACCCCTGCCGGGGGCATGGCCAGCTTGGGGGCCGCCCCCCGCCCGGCCTTCGGGGCCCGCTGCGCCTTGGGGGAGCCTGGAGGAGGTGCCTTGTCCTCGTCCGATGACCCAGACCCGTCTTCATCCTCCTCCTCGTCCCCCTCGTCTTCCTCCTCTTCCTCGCCACTGACGTCCTCCCACTGGTCCTCGTCTTCCTCAGGGACTGGAGGTGCTGGCGGCTCTGGGGGTGTCTGGGCAGCCGGGCTCACGGCCTCTCCCTGCGGGCACGGGGGGAAGCGATGTCCCAGCTGAGCCCCCTCATGGCACCAGGCAGGCAAGCGCCCAGTGCTGGAGGCTGCGGAGATGCCACCACGCAGGAGGCGCAGGGGACCGGGCTGCGCGGCCCCCTCCCACCCCAGGTCTTACCCTCGGCCCTGGGCTGCAGTCGCTCTCCTCAGCTGGAGGCAGCGTCTCCTTCTCCTCCCAGCGGTTGTCGTGCATGCTGGGAGGGGGGAAAGGTGTCAGTAACACAGTGCAGCCGCCCCCCGGAGCCACCGCTGCACCCCCAGGAGAGGTACCCCTCGGCTGGTACCTGTAGGGCTTGGCGGAGGTGCCCCCGCCCCGGCCGCGGCCCTTCCTGCGGCGCTCGCTGCGGTGCTCAGACAGGAACTCCCCGAAGGTGGGCGGCTTGGGCGGGCGCCGGCTCTCGTCTGCGGGGACACAGGATCTTACAAGGAGCCACGAGGGTGCCAGCCACACCGTGACCGTGCCAGGGACCCCAATCCAGATGGCTCCGTCCCGAGGGTGCTGCTCGGGACACCTCTGCACCCACATCAGCCTTCCTACTTACCCTGCCGGCTGCCTCCATCCGGGCCTGGCGCTGGCGCAGACCCTTCCTTGAACCTACGAGGCAGACACAGGCGGGGGAACACAACCGCAGCTAGCTGGCCCCTGCTAGAGGAAACCCCGCAGCCCTACCCAGCCCTAGGGTCCTGCCCACCCCGCCCCTTACATGGTGTCCGTCTTCTCGGCGTCCCACTCCCGGCGCCACTGGCCCGTGGGCTTGCGATGCCGCGCCAGCCGCTCCTGGTCGATCTGCTCCCGCTCCTGCTTCCAGCGCATGTACTCGGCGCGCTCCCGGCCCGTCATGGACAGCGTCATGTCCAGCGCCCCCCGGCCCCTGGGGCCCGGCCGCTGACCCTGGAAGTCGGAGGAAACGCGGCTCAGCCCCTACCGCTGCGCCCCACCTTACCCCAGCCCCTGGCGCCCAGCGCCGGGCCGTACCGGGGCGCGCCACTCCTTCTCGCGCTCCATGCCCGTCTTGACCTTGTCGAAGTCGGAGCCCCCCCAGTTGCGCCCGTGGCGCCGGCTGCCCTCCTTGCGGTCGACCTCCTGGAAGGGGCCGCTGCGCCGCGGGTCGTCCAGGAAGTTGCGCACCGGGTTCCTCTCGCGCAGCCCGTCCTGCGGCGAGACGCGGCTCCCTC